TTTGAAGTATTTTATTAGATGAATACATTTATTGAATTTGAATGATATATGGTATCTGCTGTTTTACATGATTGTTGAATGAAATTAACATATTTATTAATTTATTGTAAAAACATGACAGATAATCTGTGAAACAGATCAGGTTCTATGGAGCTTTTTGGGTCTCAATATCCTCAGGCGGGGCTTAGTCTAGTGACATTCAAGTCTATGAATGACCCATAGAGTACATACACAATGTTTTTTATTCCAGTATTAGATCAAAAGTCAGAAACAATGTGCTTACTCATGTGATTATTAAAGTTCTCCCAACTTGTGGGAGAACTTTAGAAAAAAAAAGTGTTTCTGGATTTGACTAGCTAATGCCTTGTGCTAACCAGTTACCTAGGCCATGAGGATTTTTTTCTTTTTGCTTTTTCTTAAATGTGTTTACAAGAATCTTAAAGTCAATGGAAAATAGAACTGGCAGCCAGTGTATAGCTCCTAAAACGGGGAAAGTCTTGATGAGATGCACAAATTCAGACAGTAAAGCTGAGCTTTAACTCTGTAACTATTAAATATATTTTGCTATTGACGCATTAGGACACTAACTGCTAAAAAAAATTACATCTTTTGTGTGGACAAATACAAGCAAACGCATTTTCAATATTGTATGTTTGAAGTTTAAAAGCCACGGTGAGTTGTAGCTCTGGGTCTGTCCACAGGGGGGCAGTGYAGCGGTTTGTGCTCGTTGACAGAGTAAATCTGACATAGAAGAAAAACCATGCTAACCCAGACAGTGTAGGGCTCTGTGATAACCTGATTAACTTCTGACTGTTGGCTTGTGTGTTAATTTTGGGAAGTCATCATCAGTTCGGCGGGTTTTTTGTCTCTCATGCTAATTGTGTTTTCGGTAAATGTCACGACGAGTCTTGATAGTTACCAGTAAAAAGAAAGCGGAAGTAACGGAGCATTAAAAAGAGGTAAAGCTGAAGCATCAGGATCTTTTCAGAAGAAACAGATTAATTTCAGACCGCGGGACCGTCTGTGGGTCCACAGTCTGTGGAAGTGACACGTGAGAAAACTGAGCACGTTTTTAGCTCATAAATGTTAATGTTTCTCCACAGATAGCTCAGTTAATATTGGAGAGTATGGATGTGTTTTTGTGTCTTTTATTTTTACTAAATCAGTTTTTATATAAAGCCAGATTAAACCAAAAGTATATATTATTTACTTTTTAAAGTTCTATTGATACAAAACTTAACTCTTTGTATTCAAGAACTGATGTTTTAAAAATATATATATGCCTCTGAATAGATTTTATCAATTTGATAGGATTCAGTATGAACTGAAATATTGAAATTGAAGTTTATATTTTGTTTATTTCTTGGTTATTATTGCTTGAAATTAATTTAGAAAAAAGGGGGCAGATATTTCATTTCAAGCGTGGTTTATTTTTTCTTTGTTGTGCATGATTTTTTTATTTTTAAATTAAACGAATAAATATATTAAACTAAACTAAACGAAACTGAAATACAATCATTTTAAAGGCATGCAGTACTTGTACTGATTCTGTTTGACCCCTGGAAGAAATGCAGAATAACCCTGTAAAAATATAAATTTCACAATTTTGTCTCCAGAATTTAAAACTTGTTTTTTAAAAATATATATAATAAAAAAAAACATGGCTTTTCAGCCGTGTGTGTCTCTTCCTGCAGTCATGCTGCTGCTGGACTCTGGTGTGTACATTGGCTCTGCAGCCGACCTGAACGACAGACAGGTGCTGGTTGATGCTTCTGTCACTCACATCCTGTCTGTGGACTCTGCGGACCCCGGCTTGCTGCTTCCTGATGATGGAAGCTTCAGGAGAAAGTGGATCAACGTTTTAGATGAACCCACGTCTGACCTCCTCAGTCACATGGACGCTTGCTTCCTGTTTATTGACGAGGCTGTAAAAGGAGGCGGAGCTGCACTTGTTCACTGGTAAAGGGCCTGAACTACTGACCATACACGCAGACTTTCTGTGCATTTATTCCAGCGTGTTTCTGCATTCTTGGTAAATCGTGCCACCACAGTATAAGAAAATCACAGAGAATCTGATTACAATGTTTTCATTGTGTTTTTATGTAAATCACTGTTTTTATTTTACCGTGAACACAGTAATATAATTGTGGATTTTTCCTGAGAAAATCTTTCATTTATCTGGACTAACAGAATGGTTCAGAGCTGATTATAAAACAGAAATGTTAATTAATCATAAATGTTTTGCAGTGATTTCTCTTAGAGTCTATCAGAAGAAAGCTGAAAAGAGGTTATCACGATGTTGAACAACGACAATAACCTGTTACTTATCCTTGTGAAGAAACATCACCTGCAGCCACCATGTAACTTCTTGTGTTTTTATGTTGTTGGTTTGCCTTTTATGTACACTTGTGTCAGTCAGGCGGGTCGGAGCCGCAGCGCCACCATTGTGACGGCCTATTTAATGAAGAGACACCAGCTGGACTTCACCGAGGCTTACAACCGACTGAAAAGTCTCAAAGAGGATGTGCAGTAGGTGTCAGTTTGGGTTTGTTCACACTCCAGAAATGAGGATACTCTCTCCTGGGGCCTCATGAATGAAGGATTGTGCAGCTTTCACACTGAACGTTGACGTACGGACAAATTTAGAAAAGTGCGCTGCACCAAAAAATTCAGATGTATAAAATTGTGCGCACGCAGGTTCCTGCACACCTTTCCTTTATACATCCCAATGAACGTGGAACTGAGCGCACCTGAGACGCCTCCATTTAAATATGTAAAATAGATGTAAATGTGTCCAGCGTGTGAGATTCTCCTCAGATTGTCCTCTCTGTGGGATCACAAATGATTTTTAGATGCAGGAAAAATATGCTTTACATGGAGAATGAGTGAGAAAATTGTCAGTGGGGTGTAAAAATGAGTTCGCCACTCGCAAAGGTGTGTGTGGGTGTGTACACGTGTGTGCTGCAGCGGAGCATGAGGCTGAGACATTTCCACCTTCACACGTCTTTAATAAATGACTGTAAACACAGAGGAACTGATGAGTTTCATAGAACTTCGAATCTATTGTCTGCATCTTGTGCTGAGGAATCATCACAGCTGAGCAGTTCTGAATTAATATGCTGAGTTGATGTTTTGTTCTCAGAGAAAATTAAAAATGTTTCTTAGACAATCCACACACATTTTATTTTCCTCAGCTGTGTGCGCTCYGCAGGTCATGGGCTCCGCGTGTGTTTCCAACTACGTGACATCAACATAAAAACAGTTTACAGACTGAACTGAGGTTGTTTTGATCATTTTTCGGCTGATCTATTTTCTTGTCTGAGGTTAAATGATTTTCAGTCCCGGGGTTCAGTTTCATCATCGTTCGAGTTTAAACAATAAAAACTCAAACTAAAATAAAAAATCTGACACCGTGTTCAGACGCTCCTTACATCCAGAAAACACAACAGAGTCATATTTCTGTGGATTCAGGTCAGATTCGTGACTTTGTGGGTTAAAACCGTCGACTGAAAAACTTTGCGTGGCAGCCGCACATTCTCACGGCAGGTTTCACGCAACGTTGGTTTTCATACATCACAACGTGGGCGTAGAACCTGGCACACACAACTTCTTTATGCCTACGCACCGTTTATAAATGAGACCCCTGATCACCTCAGCTTTACTTAAAATACTGAATGTGGTTCATGTGTGATCACATAAATATCCCTTATAATTGATAGTTATTAGAACAGCATTTCTCAGTTGATGACTGTTAATATGACTGGTAGCATTGATGCTTAATTTGTGTTTTTATTTAAGGTCGTATTCAGACCTGACAATTTGCTCCGCTTTAAACGAACCAGAGTTCATTTCCAGCGTTGGTCCGGACCTTTTGTGCAGGTGTGAATACAGTCATGTGAACTCTGGTGCGGATCAAACAACCGGACCGAGACCTGCTTTTTGAGGTGGTCTTGGTCCACTTCCAAACGAACTCTGGTG